CCATCCATCCACCCACTCACCTATCCATCCACCCACTCACCCATCCATCCACCCACTCACCCATCCATTCCACCATCCATCCACCCACTCACTCATCCATCCAATATTTCTTTGACCCATTTATCTACAACTCACTCTTCCTTGAACTAAGGCTCACTCGGTGTCTACTGTTCTTGGAGCTGGAGATACAGTCACATAGAACTCATATCTGCTTTTATGGACTTCACTTTCTATTGGGTAAAATAGTCACATGTTTAATTCATGTGCTGTGGAACAAGGTCTAAGGAGGAAAAAGTACATAATAGTAGATAGAACAAAAAAGGAAAGACCATTAGGATGGGCAGGTGTCTCTTCCCACAATCGTTTGATAGGACTCCTAAGGCCTAGAAGGGGAGTGGCCACAAGAAGGGAAGAATCCGGGTCCTGAAGGAGCAGCTGGATGTAGGGTTCCTGCCAACAAGGAACGTGCAACGGGACATGATGTGGACACCAAATAAACTTCTATTGTGTTCTAAGCTATTGAGATGGGGGAGGGGTTGCTTCTCATGGTGGTTACTGTGCCCTGTCCAGCAGAGACGTTTAAGCTGATATAAGAGTACATGAACAGGAGTGGGCTAGGAAAGTAGCAGGGAAGGATGTTTCAAGCAGAGACTTTTTCGTGCGGGGTCTCCACCGCTGCTGTGAGGAGAATGGTTAGGCAGCTACAGACAGTGCAGGGAGCAGCGGTCGTAGGTGGCTCTGTAATGTACTTGAGAAGGTCTCGGACAGCCTGGTGCGGGAAGAGAGAGAGGCGTGTACAGGCTGGATGGGGAGGGAGGCCACACATAAAGAAGGCATGAAGCTCACACCCATGGGTGAGTGAACCGATAGAGACGGTACATGTTGAGGCCGGAAGACTGGAGGGAGTGGAGAGAGGAGCGTCCCACTGCGGATATGCGGACAGAAGGTGGAACAGGTGAGCAGGTGTAACGGTGGGGATTCCCACTGCATGGAGTCCCACAAGAATAAGACGCTGTTTTAGGTAAACTATACAGGGAAACTGAAGGAATGGCCTGGGACTCAGCTCTGAGGATAGAGAATACTGAGGCTGAATGATCTGTCAGCTAAGGAGCCCAAGAGAATGGAACCAGGGTGCCCAGAGGAAAGCTAGCTCAGTGGGCTGGTGCATCATGGGACCCAAGGTTGAGCTCTGCACCCAGGCAGGTCTCACATGAACACCCAGCTCCTAACTATCTTTCTTGAGGCAAAACCCTTACTTTCAGAAGAGACCTCTGGATACAAACCCATCTCTTAGACCCCAGTTTCTCCCAAATTGCAATGGGGGAGGAGCATAAGTTGGCTCCCAGGAGTGCTTGGCTCCCTCTAAACCTTGGCAGAGCCTGTTCCAAGGCCCCAGGGTCTGATAGAGCAGGGCCCCAGCAGCGAGTCTTTGCCCGCATAAACCCATGACTTGGGCTGGTCTTGCGTGTCCACTAGGTCAGAGGATCTGTCATGTGTTTTATCCAGGGGATAAAATGCACATTCCTGGGTTCTACCCAGAATCAGATTGGCCAGTGACAGGATGCAGGAATGTGCATCTTTGCTAGGCTGCCAGGTGATTTTAGGCACACTAGGTTTTGAGCTGCAGCGTTGGCTGGGGATCGCAGGAAGGCAAGGGTTTGGCCTTGCGGCTCTAGCACCTCGCACGGGGCCTGCTAGATGGAGGTGCTCAGCAATTCTTTTCTGGATGGTTGGTTCTCTCCCAGTTAAGAGCCAAAGTCCATGTGTTCTGCTGAAGGGCCTGGCCATTAAATCTATCAGGGATGATGTCCTCCACGATTGGCTCCTTGTCCCTACTGCCATCTTGCGGGAGAGGGGCTTCATGACTCCGCTGGCCATGGACTGGGGAGTATGCCCCAGAGCCCCACCACCCCAGCCAAGAACACAGAGTAGCCTGGGCTGGTTCTGCTGTCATTGTCGTGAGGAGCCGTCAAGCCCATGCTGACTCACAGCGGCCCCGTGGGACAGAGCACAAGTCCCTGTGGTGCTTTCTGGGCGGTCATCTTCACAGCACAGACCACCAGGCCTTTCTTCCACAAAGCTGCTGGGGGTGGGGAGTGGGGATTGAACCACTAACCTTTTAGTTAGCAGTCGAGCAACTAATGCACTATGAAGGCCCTACAACTACTCAGGTGATTTCATCTCATAAGGACCTGTTAGAACAATGCCAAACCACTTTGTAGGGAGTTCAAGACTATGAATCTTTACTGGAGCACAGTCTCAGTTTTCTCCTACAGAGAAGCTGGTGGCTTTGAACCTATGATCTTGTGGTTAGCAGCTGCATTCTCCTGAGCTTGCTGTGGACACATTGAAAACTGGTGCAGGGTGCTGGGGTCTGCCTTTGCAGCAACACCTGTGAGATTCCAGCCAGGACGAGAGCGCACTGGGCAGAGCGGCTGTGGGATGGTGCTGGGCCAGCCCCAACCTGGTGATGCTCTCAGCTCCCCCGGAGGTGGGCAGCACTACAGCTGACCTGGCAGGGGGAGCCCTTCCTTACTGCACAAAATCCTCAATGCTCAGTGGAATGAACCTGGCTGTGGCATCTCTGGCTGTCCATTCCAGACACTGGGCCTGGGGTCGAGAGAACAGCGGAAGGGTAGGTACCATTTCCATCTTCCTTTCTCCGTGTTTGTTGGAGGAAAAGATCCAGGGGCATAACTTTGAGTCAATGCAAGTTAATGCCTTTTTGGAGCTCCATTGGATGCTGAGGGAACTGGGGGTTAGGGTAACTCAATGCTCTGAGCCTAATGGAGCTACCAGCAGCACTACACAGGCAGTGAGGCCTCTCCTAAGCGGTGCTCCTATCTATCTGGCATATTTGTGGGATGTCCAGAATGGGCCAAGTGGCCAAGAACACATCCCCCTGGGGCAGCAGCCAGGGACCCAGGGGGTGGGGCTGGGATTCCTCAAAAGCTGCAGTTCCACACCTGGAGTGTGGGCTTCCAATGCATGAGCCTGGGCACCTGGTGGTGGTGGGGACACAGGGGGTGGGGTGAGGGGTGACCGGGGACACGGGTTGGGCAGTCCTGTGGTCTACCTTTCTTGGATGTGTCCATTCGAAGGCACCTTGAATGGGAGGGGTCGTTGTGTGAAGGTAAGGATCCTAAGAATCCCCACCTGTGAGAAGGAGCCAGAGAGAGAAACAGATGGACAGGTACAGACTGAAAAAGGGACACACACACAAAGGAGACTTGGGTAGAGAAGGCAGACAGAGGCAAACACAGAAAGCATCAGAGCCCGAGGAGTGACCACAGACCGTACACCGGCCATATGCCCATTATAAGTCAAGCTTTAGCCATTTCTCCCGACTTGATTGAAGATCAGAGCTAACCAGCTATTCCTTCCAGTGGAGGATGGAGGAAGCAAAAGCAATGTCTACACTTTGTGCACCGCCATTACCAATTCTGGTAAGAGGCTTTGTAGGGAGAGATGCCCCTCCACTGACCAGTCAATGGATTCCTTGATGTCAGCCCCCAGAGGCTGGGTAGATGGAGATGCCTGGCACCCCATGGGGAATGTGTACACAGGGCTGGCCAAACTGTAGGCAGCACACAAGCTGGGTTTCTAGAGCTGGGGTTTTTTGAACTTCTGAGACATCATAGTTGACATGTGGAGTAAACATGTTAGGCTTCTAGAAGCCGTGCCCAGCATACTGTTGTATCTACCTGCTTCTTAAGTTGGACTTCTGGTTCCACTGTCACTGGAAAGCAGAATGTCTTTGCTCATCCCTACCCCCCATCATATACACACAGGCCTGAAAAATCACTAGCTTCAATTCTAAGCAACTGAAGGCCAGGGACTGTTCATACATTTTGCTACCCCAAAGAGAAATGAACCATAATAGGCTTACAGATCATTCAGACAGAGTCTTTATCTTATTAATTTCTGACTCCCTCAAACAGCCTGGTCCACAGAGACATACCACAGTGAGTCTGCAGAATTAATGGAAAATGATTGTCTGATGGATGGAATGGGTGAATGTGAAGTTGGGAATTGTAGGACTGACTGTGAACACTGTGTCGTACTCAGTTCAGTGTATGTGGGGATATTGGTGGGGATGCTGAGGAAAATAAAGACATCAGCTTCTGTGGGTGCCTAGCTAGCTCAGTCGGTAGAGCATGGAACTCTTAATCTCAGGGTCATGGGTTTGTGCCCCATGTTGGGCGCCATTTGTGGGGGAAGGCCACCCCCCCCAACTAATTGTGGGTTCGATAGGCGCAATTGTACAGTTAAGATACATAAAGATTATAGCAAAGCCATAGAGAGCATGAGAGATTAAATTAATAGAGTCATACATTTCATGGTAGCATGCTCACCTCAGTCTCACTTGGTGATCCATGTGGAGATGGTTTCTATGGAGAGCCAGAGAACAGGTCAAACCTGCTCAGTGACATACACAGTTAGGCTGCCATCATGAGTCTAGGATCTGGCCATCTTGTCACATGTATACCCCTAATCCCCCCTCTTCTTATTGCATGTATATCCCAAGATTGTCCCCCTCTCATTGCTGTATAACCTATAGTGCAACCCCTTCCTGTGATGTATGTCTTTATCTGTAACTAGGGGGCTTGTATGCCCCCCAAAGATATATAAGCCTTGGTTAGCAATAAAAAACTCTCTCCCTCGCCTCTCTCTCTCTCTGGCACTCCACTCCAAATTCCTCTCCTCCTGTCCTTCCTCCCCTATTCCCTTTCCCCTTGTCTTCCTTTCCCTTCCCCACTCTCCTGCCCTCTGGTCTCCCATGTCCATGTGGACCACCAAGTGGGGCTGAAGTGAGCATGCTACTATGAAATATGTCTGACTCCATTATTTAAACCTCTCCTCTATCTCTCATGCTCTCTATGACTTTACTATAATCTTTATATATCTTAACCATACAATTGTGCCTATTGAACCTGCAATTAGTTGTGTGTGGTGGGGACGGCTGGCTTTCCCCCACAAGCTTCTAGCATTTAGGTGATCTGCTTGGCCCCTATAAGCATTTTTGTTTTCTCCCCTGATCCTATCATATACGTCAGTGCTTGTCAAACTGCAGATGGTAACCCCTTAGCATGTAGCAGAACCAACTGCTCAGCATTAAAGAAAGGCAAAGAGAGAGGAAGTATCAGAGGGTCCTCCCATGTGGAGCATGTGTTCTGTCTTGTGGAATGTCTGTAGACTGGGTCATAATATAAAATGTGAACCATTGCTGCAGAATTGGAAAACCATCGCTCTAAATTCTGCAAAGTTGTTGGGTGCAGCCAATGGTTCAGTTCTAGACAACAAGCCTGGAGGTTCAAACCCATGCAGAGGCACCTGGGAAGCTAGGCCAGGCAATCGGCTTCTGAAAAGTGATCCACAGCCTTGACAATCCCATGGAGCAGTTCACACACGGGCTGTCAGGAGCTGGGGCTGAAGACTGCCACCAACAGGTCTCCCCTCTACATTTTTGAGACGTGCACCTATACAGAGTCTTGCATGACCCATTTCCCAGGGCAGCTGGTACACCACAGGGTGAATCACGCTTCCTGATTTGCTCCATGGGAAAGTGAACATTATCTCTAAAGTGGGTATTCTCAAAACAGAGCTCGGTGAGCCAGGTTGTTCCCCTCACTTGTCCCAGCCCCACTCTGGGGGCTGGAGGGCAGATGGTCAGAGAGGATGTTCCCATATGCCCCACCCAGCTCAGTCCTACCTCTCTGTCAGTGCCTTGCTCTGGGTGTCCCGTGCTGCCTGCAGGTCTTTCTCCAGTCTCTTCCGGGCCATCTCCAACTGCTCTACCTCCCCCTGGGTCCACTTCCGGGGGCTGATAAAGCGCATCTCCTTCAGCAGCTCCTCCTTCTCATTGATGAGGATCAGGCGGTCCCTCTCCGAGTCCAGCACTCCAGGCCAGGCCTCACTGTCAAGCTTGGCCAACTGGATCTTCAGGTTGGAGATCCTGGGGGCCAAGAAGGGGAGAATGACTGGTGTGGCTCAGGACAGCGCAGGAAGAGGGGATCAGAGTGCATTTCCAAGGGTCTAGGCTACAAGGAGCTGTGCCATCCTCAGGCCCATTCTCGACATCACGGTTCTCCTTCTGATCCAGGAGCACATCTTGATGTAACAGACATGGGTGGGAATCTAGCACGACCAAGCAGTGAAGCAGGCTTTGCAGGAATGGGGGCACAGATGAACATGACACTAGACCACCCTAAGGGACACAGTTTTGAATTCAATATCCAGAAACAACCACTTAAGTGACCGGCTGTGAGACTTTGGGCATGCCATTTCATTTCTCTGATGGGAACAACAAAAGCTCCTTGCTATGAGGCTGTCGCTGAGTTTTTATGACATAATTCATAAACTCTCCAAGCACAGCATCTGCCATGTACTAGGAGAATTAGTCATCAAATGTTTCTACTACAACTGGTGTTCTTACCAGCTTTAATCATTGATTAAATGTATAGAGTGAGGCAAATTCCCTGAGCCTTTGTTATCTAAAATCCAAAGTGTCTGGCACATGACAAGGGTTGAGTTGATGGCCGTGGTGGACCCACAGAACCCAAGATGCCCTTCAAATTCACTGCCATCAAGTTGATTCTGACTCACACTGACCCTATTGCACAGGGGAGAACTGCTCCTTTGGGTTTCTGAGACTTTAAGTCTTTAAAGGAAACGACAGCCTGAACTTTCTCCCGTGAAGCGGCTGGTGGGTTTGAATCACTGACCGTGGGGATATCAGTGTTCAGTGTCTAACCCACTACAGCACTAGGACTCCCACAGACCCACAACCATGGCAAAAAGAATGCTATAGTTAGTAATTACATGTCCTTCATTCAGAGAGCCAGGGTGACACACTTTGAAGAACTGGGGTTGGGGGGGTCAGAGGTGAGTTGGAGTCCTGGCTCTGGCCTTCTCAGCAACAGGGAGCATGTCTTGACAGATCAGTTTGGTATTTTGAATACCTGGTCTAGTGCGGTCACTTAATACATTTGAAAGGAAGGAGCCAGGAGCCCATCTCTTAACTTCTTTTGGGTTCAGTTACCTCAAATGTAAGACAGGGGTCATAGTGGAACTGAGCAGATGGGGTGTGAAGACCTAATAACAATTTCTCACAAAGAGCAATCTACAGATGGCCCAGTACGATATATGGAACACTCAGGATGCAACGGTTAGGCTCTCAGAGGGTAACTGCCAAGCTGATGGTTTCAGCCCGGTCAGAAGACCTGTGATCAACTCCTCCAAAGATCATAGCTCTGTGCCCCCCACCACCAGGGGGACAAACAAAAGAAAAGTGGGTGTCATGTTAGACATGACAAAATAATAATAATTTATAAATTATTAAGGGGTCGTGGGGGGGTGTAGGGAAGGACTGGAGAAAATGAGGAGCTGATACCAAGGGCTCAAGTAGAGAGCAAATGTTTTGAGAATGATGATGGCAACAAATGTACAAATGTGCTTGA